AGAGTCCCTGTTTTATGGAGAAAATTGTTGCCTTTTCTAAAACATTTTGCTTGACATACAGCAGCCAGACAAAGCTGCAGTCTCTCTTGTTCTTTCTCTCATCTCTGCCTGGATAGAATTGATTGGATAGGACTTGCTGTAATTTGTTTTTACAATTAATAATGTTCCAGTTTATCCTCAGGGACAGTTGGGTGAGTAATCCCACACCGACCTTGACACCCTAGTGTTGTAAAAGACAGAGCAGGTTGGTTGTTTAATTTGGTTTTATTTCTAGTAAAAGGGGGATAATAAGGACATGTGTTTGAGCCTCTTGCCCATGTGATAACACATTTTTTTCCACGTATAAAAGTATTTAGCTACTTGTAGTATTTGATTTGATTTACAGGCTCATCAGAGAACTAGATAGATATTAACTCCAGTGCTAACTCTTGGGCTTTCCTCTCTGTCTTTTGTCATTTTAGAGACTGAGTTTTGGGCATCAATCCATGTTTTAACCTGTAATTCTAATGAGGTGTGATTGACACTGTTCAAATAAACTGGCATTGTTAAGCTGCTTTTCCAAAGGTTGTGCAACATTTTGAGTGAATGCATTTGGTTTACAGGTTAAATAAAATTGGTTTCCCTATGCATTGGCTGTAGATTTTTTTGTTTGTTTGCAGAGGATGATATCCAGTTCTAGAATGTAATAATTGGTGTGACTTGAAACATTAACTATAGGGTAACAAAAAGCATTACAAGACAGGAAAAGGGTATTGTAGGATAGTGTAAGGAGGCAGCAGCCACTTGAACCTTCAGAAAAGATTGTTCATCATGCTGTTTTATTAGAACTGAAGATGATTTTTGTATGTTTGGTATTTGAACTGCTTTAAAGGTAAGAGGACCTGAGTCATTCTGCAGAACTCAGCCATGGACAAATGTGAATCGCCTCTGACTAAACCACCTGCAAGCAAGAAGCTGAAATTGATCAGCAGTTGAGGGGGAAGCTGTGTGCGTGTCTTCCTTCTGTCATGGCACACAGGAAACCTCCAAGAATGTCATTGTTAGTTTGCCTCCATATGTATTTATAACTGCTTTTTTTTCAGCTACCTCTTCATATGAAAGCTGCTTCCTGGTGAGCTTTGGATCAGGCCTACGGCAAAGAGAGAATGTGTACAAGTACTATCCCTTTACTCATTTTAGGAGGTTGAAGATCTCTGCCATCCTAAGCCATGACCAGCTGTGCAGGGAGGGAGTAATAAAAAGTCCATGTGAAAAAATTGTTTTAAGAACATTTATTAGGTAGCTTTAATGCAAACCACATGCTTTCCTCTGAGCAGTAATAATGGTAAGATACTTGCAGTATCAAAATATCCCTGATTAAAAGCCAGTGGATCCCTTTGAAATCAGTTGGAACTGATTTCACTAAGCAAAGATGAGAATTTACCTTGCATATGAAACAGAAAAGATCTAAAGCCTCCACTTCAGGTTTTTATCAGTTATTTTGGAGATACACCAGAGCAGAGTTTCTGGTGTTGACTGTTCTCTGTCTGTCTCTTCAGTGAGGCAAGAGCAGGCGAGAGTGTTCAGTTAAGGTAACATCTCTTCTGAGCTGTCACTCATTAACAGCCTTTTTCTTGTTTTGGGGTGGTAGCAGGCGGCTGCCTGTGATGGAATCTGTTGCCCAGAGGATGAGTAGACAGAGGCTGCTTGCCTTGTGCTTCTAGGAAACAGAAAAATCAGGAATGGCTGTGGGATTATGTGATTTCAGGAGGGGTCTGCTCCGAAGGTGCATCCTGCAGTAGCAGTGCTGTGTGAAGGCTATGGCTCTGGGCCCCCTTTTCTGGGGGGCTTCTGTGGCCAATCACGCAGCAGGCAAAAATGTCAGCACCTGTGGGCTGGGTTTGCCTCACAGGTCCTGCATGGTGCTGGTGTTGGATGTGCCGAGCTGCAGGGAATGAAGGGTCTTGTGTGTGGTGTGTATCCGTCACCGAGCCTTTCGCAGCCCCTACAGTCAACATCTGATGACGTTGTGGGAGGTATCTGGTGTTCCACACATAACCAAAAATAATCTGTTTCCACAATGGTGAGATTTGTTTTCATGTTCCTGAGAGTAACTGGCTGCCTGCAGTACATCAGGCCTGTGCTTTCTTCATGTTGTGGTTTGTGCAGTCTCTCAACTCTTTCATGAGCATCTTTCCATTTATCAACCAGGATCTCAATGCTGCCTTCAAGTCAGTTTTCTTTTTTAACTTTTTCTATCTCATAAGTATTTTGGCTAATAAATGATTCTATAGAGAAGATGGATGTGCTCTTGCACTGTCATACACAGTCTCATCTATTTGGATTTTTGGTTTGATCAGTTCTTTTGCTTCTGAAGGCTCTTCCTGGATATAGGCAGCCCAGTTGGTCTTTAGTTGCCTCTGGGTCCTTTACTGACCACTGCTGTTTTGGTGAGCAGTGAGGCTACAACAGCCTGACAGAGCTGTCTTGTGGCTACCCAGAGGTCCCTAAGAGCTGTCAGTCCAGTTCTGAGTGTTTGTGACTCTGAGATGTGTCAGGAACTCTTCTTTGTGGTGTAATAGGGTTACATTTGATTTTCTCTGTATCTGAATGAATTGCCTTGTCTTTCCGTCTGATGGCAAATTTAATGTTTCGCTTACTGTAAATTCTTCTGTTCTCTAATATATGCCGGGCTTCAGCATAGAATAGATTTTCCTCCTTATTATTTCAAAACAAGTGTTATCAATAAAAAGAAAATTAAAATGTGTCATGATGATTTGGAGAGAAATAAATACACTGAGGCTAAGCTTTCAGCCCAATTAGACCTTGACAGTAAGAAATAATGGGGAGAGAAAAATTCGTAAAGACTTTCAGAGGATGTGAAATAATGTTTGTTTGGATTTTTGGGGGGTTTTTTATTTTTTACTTTTTAAATCAATTCTCCTTTAGTAAGTTTTTGTTTTATTCAGGAATATAGTGGAATTTATTTTTGTGAGAGATTGTTTCTCATATGATTTTTTTTTAAATACTTGTTGGTTGCAGCTCATGCAATGGCAGATAGAATGAATTTCTGAGTCCTATGACCCTCTGGACTTTAACCTCCTGGACTTCACGTTCATTGACTTCTAATATATAATATTTACTGATTCCTAGAGCTGCCTTTGCATAGATGTTTTGAACGGCTTACTTCAAGTAGCTGTCCATTAATCTTGAGCGGTGGTGGGGGTGTGTGAAATGATGCTTTCCTACTTACTGCTCTCCATCAGGTACGAGATCCTTAACATTGTAGCAACATCCTGACAGAAAGAAGTGGTTGGTACTGGCAGCAGGTAATGGTCATAGCAGTTAATGGATGTGAATGTATACATTGCTGTATATGTGCTGAATATGTTTGTTGTTTATGTGCTGACCTAATCTCTCTTTCTGGTTTTATGTAAATATATGCAGATATACTTAATAGTAAGCAAAAACCTTCACCAGGCATAACTTAATTTTTATACCATCTTTATATTGTCTCTTACTAGTATATTCAGTACCTCAATTAGAAAAGCAAATAGACTGTGCCTACCAAAACCATTATCAGTTACCATTTAGTGTTCTCATTAGAAATGGCTTATTAGAATATGAATGTCTATATTATTTTTTTAAAACAACATTTTTCACTTAGAGTACCTACTACCAGTCTACTGCTGACAATTACCAAACAAATTCCCTATTGTCAACTAATATGCAAATAGCCTAACTGGGTTGTTATAATTGCAAATAAGTTTTACTGTTTTCCCATTGAACAGAGATGCTGAGTTCTAATGAGTTCTAGTTTGCAGTAATGAGGGAGCTGACAACAGGATGAGGTTGCAGCAGGCAAGGCTGGGTTTGAGCAAAAGCTGTAATTGAGAGCTATTTTGATACCCATGTAGAAATGAATCCTCTTAACTGGGCTTCTCATACCTTTAAAACGGTATAAAACGGTGTACGTGTGTGTTTCTGAACATTGCCTCAGTAGAGACTAACCTTTGTTGAGGGATTGACCCAGTACTGCTTTTTGAGGGATAGCTTCACAAAAGAGTAAGTCAGTTTACTGGGTCAGAAATGTGATTAGTAAGAAACTTCATGTGCAAAGCAGCTGACATTGTTACTGTAGCTATGCTCTGATACAGGAGCACCTCCAGGTTGCTTATGTACCGCTGTAAAAGTTGTTAGATTTCCCCAGTGCTCCAGACACCAGAGAGAGGATTTCTTTTGATACACTATGGTTGAGTGCTTCTTCTCCTTTATACTTTTATTTTGGTGCTTCAGTCTAGTATAATTTTATTATGAGCCATTTCATCGTACCTGCTTTTACAAGATCAAGCTGCTAACTGCTTCAGAAAGGCATTTTATTTATTGCTGGGTTTGTTATTCAAACAGGTAGACAGAAGGAATAAAAAGAGTACATGAGTAGTTAAGGCAAAGATTTACAGCTTCGTTTTGTAGCACAGATGTTTGTACAGGCATTTATATTTTGGGGAGCTTGTGTTAGCATACCTGTTCTGAGGTTTCTCTGGGTCTGCATGATCTCAGAAAAGAAAAAGCACATTTACTCTTTGTGCGCCATCTTTTCCCTGTGAATTTTGTAACTGAGGCTTAACATTCCACAAATTTGTGACTTAAAATCTAGTATTTCAGTGAACAGGAATTTATGCATGTTATAAAATCCCCAAAAAGGTGGCAGTAACTATTTCAGACCGTGGCTGCTGAACAGTTAGCAATTGTCCTGGAGAATGCGCTGTCTGATCCCTGTGCAGCTGTATCCTGCCCAAGCTGCTCCCTGGCCCTGAGGACGAGTAGCAGCAGCATCTGCTGCAGGCAAGGGAGCAGGTGGAGCATTCCTCCAAGCAATGCTGCAGCTTTCCCCTCCAGCCAGGAGAGCAATGGTGGGACAGAAAGGTCACACTAATGCTCAGACTGCTCTGCCCACCTTGCCCCGCAAGCAGGTTCTCTCCTCCCATTAACCCTGTGGCTCGTTTTGCTTCTGGCAGTGCTGCATGGGCAGGTGTACCGGTTTTGCACCCCAGAGGGGACATGGCTGCTGCAGGAGAATTCGACCCTGCCTTGGAGGAACCTGTCTGAGTGCGAGGCCTCTGACCAGGTAAGAGTTTCTATCTCCTGCTGCTGTTGTTTAGGACAAAACAGAAGAGTGGGAAAATATAGTCACCGATGACCACGTGGTTTTGTCCTGTCAAAGTAATCTTTACCGACTTATCCTGGGTGCCTCACTTCAGTGAGCCTAACAGTAAGGGACGTCAGGTCTCTCACCTTCAACAAAGGGAATGTAGAGGGTAAATGAGAGCAGGTTTAAATGTACATGAGAGAGCCAAGAAAAGTGAACCAGGTAGTCCCAGTTGGTGTGCAGTGCAGGGGGCTCAACTACAAACCACCTGAACTGGAGGAGTGGCCTCTTATTCCTTTCCATTGGTATGTTGTTACTATAAAGTGACTGTTCTCTCTGTCTTGTTAACAGCTATTAAGGTGATTAAGATGAACTGAACTGAAGGATATTTGCTTTTCAGCTTTGCATAGGGGGCTGTCCCTGCTTTTTGTATGTTTGGGGTTTTTTTTATCCACTTGCTGTGGGTGATGGATTTGGACTTAGTGTTATTTTCTTGCCTTAGTGCTTTATACTCTGCAGGGAGCTGAGGCACCTGGCACCAAATGAAGGAGAGTGTAGGGATTTCCAGGGGATTTTTGTCAGCTATTGGCGTCAGCTAGTGCACTGTGTGCGTTCCCATGACACGTGATACCCTTACTGCCGCGAGCCTCCGAGGGCAATGCTTTCCCTCACATAAAGTGAGTGCACTCTCTCTGTCCCAGGGTTCTGGGAACTAGTGCATACCTAGCCAAAACAGTTCAAGTATAAGAAATTTACAAGTGCTGTGGGATCTGTGTTCTCTGGAGTTCTCATTGCTCAGTGCCTTGTTCTTCAGAAGGAATAAATGGCTGCAGACTAGAGGAGGTGGGAAAAGATATAGTTTTTAATTCTCCAAATATGTTAAATTTAATATTTTCTTTTAATTTGCAGTCTTATTCCTTGTCCTTTCCATGTTCTGGGGTATCCTAGCAGAGCACATTCTCTTAACGTGAAGTATAAGCCTGGTCGTTTGACTTTTCTTTGTTTGTCATTATGGTTTCTTCCAAAGCTGTGCTGGGACATGCCAATGAGAGAGATACCCAATAGTAACACTTGGTTATTTGGCACCTGCCCCCAAGTTCCCATTAAATGACATGGATTCTCAGACCCTGTGTACATGGTGTCACTCCCTGAAATGTGAACAGCCATGTTTGGTTTTCCAGCTAAAGTATATAGAGCCCCCTAATAACCTACTTTTTTGTACATCTTGTACATGAGAACAACAAGTTATTTTGATGTTTTCTATGTGTTATGTTACAACTGTTGCTAAAACAAAATCCAAAGGGTTTGTGAGTGAATCCATATAAAATAACATTGTTTACTTTAAGTGTGTAATGTGGTTTTGATCTGTGTAGATGTTTTAAATTGTCAGCTCCCAATAGTTTGCCTGAGCTTTGATGCTGAAGAGATTTTTCTTCTTTTTTTGTAAGGCAGCTCTCATATCATTCCCTTTAAAACATTAACCTAGCAAATCCCTGAGGAACAGCCTGTCTATTCACCTTAAATCTTCCTGGCTGTGCAAAGTACATCTGAATAGCTGTACTTCTGAAGTACAATGAATGTATTCCTTTGTACAACACAGATCTCGGAAGTCAGTTGCAGAGTTAGCGGCATGAAGAAGGGAAATAAAATGCCTGAATGTATTTAGACAAAGATGTGTGCTTAGAAATGAACCAGAATTAGAGAATATGGATGTGCCTCAGAGGCTGAGCAATAAGCTCATGTTATAATTCAGACCCCTCTGTAGCTTTTAAAATAATTTGCCCTAAAGATTTTGGCAAGCACTTTCAAGCAAGGATGTCAGTGGTCATGTCTTCAACAGTGCATCTGAAGAGAGCCACAGCCCAGGAGTGTCAGGGGGGTATGACATCCCCACTGCTCTGGCTCACATTGGGTTGCTCCCTCCCAGGCAGTGCTGTAACACCTGGGTCGTGAGGTGGCATGGGGCTATGGTTCGTTACCAAGAGGTTGCATAGTCAAGGCAAAAAAGAGACTATTTGGGGGCAGAAAAGAGTTTAGTTGTATGAATGCAAGGCATGCTTTGCCTCAAAGTCAACGCATGGAACCTGGCTTGGTCTATTTCTAAGTAGAGATGTAGCCAAAGGACCCCCTTGTTAGAGCAGTAAGGCGACTTGATGTGTGTGTGTTCAAGTCTGAAAACATCAGCTTTGCCATTTTTACTGCAAGGTTGAGTTGTGTTTGTGCTTCCTGCCATCTGTTTAAGACTTGCTTGTGTGGTAATTCATGCCTCTCCAACTTTATTATGAAATAATGTCACATTATATATTTTCTTTCTAGCCTGGCTGCAAAACCCAACTGTTTGAGTGAACACCTGGGAGCAGCTGGGGAATTAAGATTAAATTCTTATTTCTTCAGAACATACGGAAAGTGGGAGACTGATTTGATATGAGCATTTAAACTTGAAAGTAGGAGAATGACTTCTTGTTATCATTAAGAGAAGTTAAAAAGCAGCTGGGAGAAAAGAACTAAAGCCCATGAGTTCTATCTTTTCCCAACTCCCCCTTTCTTTTTTTTTTCTTTTTTTTTCTTTTCTCCTTTATATGCTCTCAGGATGCACCAGAAGAACAGCTGCTGAATTTGTCCATCATATACACCATTGGATATGCTCTTTCCTTCTCTGCCCTTGTAATAGCAACTGCCATTCTTCTTGGATTCAGGTAACTGGCAAAGCTCTGAAGAGTGGTGAAAGGGTGTTATGTTTTTCTATATGATAGTATCAGACTTTGACAGAAACATTTGATTATTTTTTCCCCTTCTTCCATCATCTCATTATTTCTCTATCTTATGTTACTTCTGTGTTTCTTCTTACAGTCATTTATTCTCAAAATGCAAGTAAAATTCCTAAATTTTTGCAGTGTTACCTGTGTGAATGCATGGAACAAATGCTTTTTGCCAGTTGAAATATTTTGTGTGATATATTTTATTTCAATTAAATTTCCACTGGAACAGATAGAAAAAGAGAGAGATTCCAGCATTCCCTCATAGTGTCACCTTGCAAATAAGGCACTAGTCTGGGGTGTGAGAGGACATTTAGGACAGAAGTTTTCATCTTGCCTTGCTTGGACTTACGCAGAGCATGAAGTTCAGTCTGGCCTATTTCCCAGCCCACACATGCAGTGTGTATTTCAGTGCAGAAATGGATTTTTGAACACAATTTCCCTTTTTGGAGAACTTTCAGAAATTCTTATTTCTTTTGCAATATGGAAGAGAACCTTATTTTGAAACCTGAAAAGTTTCTTTGAAAAACTTTTCTCTGAAAAACTACTGTCACCTGGTCAGATTGGTGTATTGGCTTCATCCAGGTATGTACCAAGAAATTGCATGGAGTGCATCAAAATTAAGACTATTGGTTGCACATGCCAATGATGCTCTGTGTAGGTTTGTTGTTTTTTTTTTTAAAAAAACAACGCCTCTCCCACCCCAACTTTGTACTCCAGCAGAGATATCTTTTTTTCCCCTCTGTAAATGCAGGAGGTTTCTTGATTCCAGCCAGACTTTCCTGCAGTTTGGAGATGCTGAGCACAGGAGAATGATATTTAGAAAACAAAGATGTGATCATTCTCTGTTGTGGGAAGGAAGTCCCTCTGCCATGAAGTACTGCTCCCTGCTGCTGTATATAGCCAGGTCCCATCATCCCTCTTACATGCTGATGAGGTTGCCTTCTAAAAAAGTAGTTTTCCATCTCCAGATACTCTAACTTGAAATCAGGCCAGGAAACCTCAGTGCTCTGATCCTTAAGAAACTTTCTTCCCTGACTAAAGAATTGTCATTGCCAGTTAATGATCATTTGCTCTGCTGCCAGCACTCTCAGTTAGCAAGGCAGTCCCTCTCCTTTTCTCCCTTCAAAGTGTTTATACCCCTTACATGTTTAAAAAGATCAGTCATGCCTTTTAGCTTCTAATTTCCAAAACTGATATCATGCAAGCCTTCTGATATTGTACACCTTCTAGCATTGTGCTCTCCCTCCTCCTTCCAGTGGAGAAGCATAGGCTAGCAATCTCAAAGAAGATTTAAAATGACTACAGAACTGCAGAGACATGCTCACCCTTTGTGAATGCCACGTGATAATTATAATTTGTATGTGTTGTACCTGTGCAACTTTGGGACTCATCTGATGAAACACCAGATGGTCTTGAAGTCTCCAAATGTCTCCCAGGATAAATGCTTTCTCCTTGTTTCACCCATCAATGACACTTTTTGAGTAATCCTAGCAGCCCAAATGTAAAGGTCACAGAGCTCAACCATATACTTTTGGAAGGAAGGAAGGATGTGCAAGTTTTTTGTGAGGGAACAAAGAGCAAGTTTGTCACTGAAGACTGGTAGAGGAGAGGGAGTTTTGATGCCCTGAATTTTGTGGAGAGATGCTTTAGCATTTTTTCCTTCAACTGTGAATCAGAGACTGGAGAAGTGTACATGAGTGTGTGCTTCTGATTTTGAAAATGAGGTTTCAGAGATGTTAAAGGGGCTGGGAGCCTTGTTAAAACTATGCCATCGATGCATTTTGTGCTTTCCTGTCTAAATTATCTACCTGGAGACAGCTTGGTTCTGGATCTCATGAAATACGTGAGACCTACCCCTATGTGGATTGCCGTTGCTGGATTCCGACTGAACTTCTACTCTTGGCCTCTCCCCAGTAGCTGTGCAACCTCAACAAATGGGGATCAAAATCTAATTATGAAGGGTAGCGACAAATAAATTTTGAGTTAAAGGAAAATAAATATTAATCATAGGTAGGTTGTTAAATAAGCTGTGACTTAAAAGTGATGCAAAAAAATCTGTTTGACCTATGAAAAAGGTTCTCCTTTCTCTTCAGTGGAAAACCGATAACTTTTAGACCAAGTCTGTTTTTCTAACCAAATTTGTAGAGCAGTAAAAAAAAAAAAACAAAAACAACAAAAACCACCAAAAACCCCAACATTTAAAGCATAAGTTCACTGAAATGCTTGCTGGAACAATTGCTGTTTATCATATGTGACCTGTATCTTTTAGCATCATAAAAGAATCATGCCATGTGCAATTTCCTTTGAAGCAAAGTGTATACCTTTGCAGTGCTGGAAGAAAAATGTTTGCGAATAAGGCTGGTAAAACATTGGCAATACTCTGCAGTTGGATGCCATTTACATGACTACAGTTTCTTTTGCTATCCCTTAACATGCTCTTTTTTGACAAGAAGCAATTTTATTGTCTTTGCAGCTGACTGCTGAAATTCAAGAGGATTTTTTTATTTGTGTTTTTTTTTTTTGTTTGTTTTGTTTTGAGTTCTGAATGCAGAGGTGAAAATTCTGTTCCTTTTAGTTCTGCAGAAAGTATTTACAATTCCCCCAGGAGGCAATCTGAATACAGATTCTTCTCTTGTTGTCAAAATGGTAATTTACAGGTGGATGTTTTTTCATTGTGGGTTTGAGCACAGTCTAGAAGCTGTACTGTGCACAGGATCCTGAGCCTTGCCAACGTAAACCTGTGCAGTGACATTTGGGACAATTCAAAGAGAAGAGATTCAGCATTATGTGAAACTTTTTTTTTTTTAAGTCCTTTCAGCTATGACTTCTGAAAATGACTTTATTTTTACACTTTTTAAACTTTTAAAATACTGTTTTTCTTACACACTGATCTCCTTCCTTCCCCCAAACACACTTAGGGCTCAAGTTTTGAATGTCTTTTCCTTGATAGTGATTTCTTCCTAAAGACAGTTTGAAATTCCTACAGCCATTCCCAATGTATGCAATTTCCTCTGGTACTTCCTGATTTCCAGCAGGGCTCATTGTTCCCTTTCTCAGCTCTCAGTCCCGTCTGTGATATTGCAGCTTTTACATAGGTAGTGGATCATGACTTGTTCTTCCTTTTTACAGGCATCTGCATTGCACAAGGAATTATATTCACCTGAACCTCTTCACCTCTTTTATTCTCCGGGCTATATCTGTCTTCATTAAAGACTCAGTGGTGAAGTGGATGTACAGCACAGCCACACAAGAGCACCAGTGGGAAGGACTTATCTCCTTCCAGGTAGGGGCAGGCACTGTGGTGGTTCTCAGGATATTGGAGTCATCACTGTCATGCGTCTGCATGACAGCAGGTAATTTCATTTTGTACAAAGAGGGTTCTTCAGTCCATGGAGTTTCTCTGAAACTTGTAGCACAATGTATGTGGTTGTGGTTGTGCCACCTTGGGCTTAGTACAGGCAAGTAGTTGATGCCATGGCATGTTTCTCTGCCGGTGGGAAGTTTGCACCTACTAGACAGAGGAAATATGAAGAGGTGGATTTTTGACATATATACACAAATGCCTGCATCTTCTTCCAACGCTGCAGGTTCATTTCTTCTAGTATTGACAAGAGGGCATTGTGACGGAAAGAGACTTAACTGCAAGGCTCAAGCAAATGACTTGGAACTTCACTTGCAGATTTACCTGCAAAGTTCAAGCAAATGACCTGAACTGCACTTGCAGACTGAACATGCCCCTACTGCAGATTTTACAGATATAATGGAGGAATGCGATATTGCAATTTTAAAAGCAAGATTAGTACACTGTTACGATCACAACTGATTCACAGTGCAAACTATTACAGCCACAACCAATTCACAGTTGATCAGTAGCACACAAAACATTGCACATATTTACAAACTTAACATATAAATAATGTTCACTTACCCTTCCAGGTAAGGGATCTCAATCCCAGGGAAGCTACCTTGACTGGTGTCCCGATAAAGGCAGGAAGGATCTCCTTTACAAGCCATCTGTATAGTTCAAGGAGTGTCTCCCCTCCCAATTTCTAACCTGAATCTTAGGGGTTTTTATCCCCTGACTTACCTAACAGTGTGTATGACTACACCTGAGTGGATTACACTGTTATCTTTGGCAGTGTGGTGGAGTTTCCCCTTATCTGTCTATCTTTTGCTGGTCTGTGATTGTTTGAGTATACAAGGTTGTAGTTTAAAACTGAACTTGAAACCTTCCAGCTTTTCTTTACCTTTCTTCCTCAGGCAACTGAACAGGGGTTGGATTGAGACTTGGGGCATACTATTTGTTAAGGGACTTCAAGGCTCAGCACAGGTTTTGGTTCTTTGAATGGTACAGCCACAGCCCTGTTTAGTTCAGAGCTTATCAGACAACCCAGGTCTGAGCTATACACACTGCTCCCCGTGAATTGTCTCTGCAGAGAGGACTTCAAGGCAAACCCAGGCTGGGTCACTTTTGTAACCCCTCCCCCACCCCGAGTCACCTGTGTGCACTAGATGTTGTGAACCGTGTTTGTGAACTATGAGTCGGACAATCCATACAGGCATTCATTTCCTCCAAACAGCACCTTTTGTGATAGGATTGTCCATCTTATATAATGACCAAATTAGTTGGTTGTTCTTGGAGTTCTTTATAACCTGTTAATGGTGGGAAAAAAAGGAAGCATCTGATTAAAATGCAAATGTGAAAGCATTTAGAAAAGCTATGGAGGAACAGGCTAATTAAATACTTATAATCAAAAGGAGAGGATATACAACTCTTATGAATGTGATGAAAGCATGCCTTTCCCCCTTCAGATTTGGAATACAAAATGTACTTGAATCTTCAAAGATGGGGTTTTTCATTATTTGTACAGCTCTTGTGATTCTAGAATGTGGCTATGGTGTTTGCTGCTGCAGTACAGGGTTGGGGTCGTAAAGGGTGTCTTCTGATGTAGTACCCATTGTTTTCTGACTCTCTGCCTAAGGCTTAAGTGCTAATATCACATAGTAAATCTCATATGATGATTGATTTCTTGTCATCTGCAATGTATCAATTGTCAGAAAATAACATTGTAATACATATCTTAAGTGGTTTGAAAATGTTCACATTGCATTGTCAGTCATTCCCTCCTTCCAGAAAAAAACCTGCACACGTGGCTTCACACATGGTTTATCCAATAGTGGTTTCATCAGATCTGATGGATAAATTAATTAAGTAATCAGGTTTCACACTTATCTAAAGTCCTGCTGACCATGTCTCTGTAACTTACCAACTAAGAGAGATTTTGCACTGAAATGTAATGCACAGGCCAATATTGCTGTTCTACCAAAATCTTTTGCTTTGGAAAATAGTCAACATTATGGCATCTGCTATTTGGTCTTTAATGGAGAAAGTCTCAGCTGCAGAATAGAATATCTGGGGAAGTTAAAAGATTCACTGACTGCAGTTGATACAGTACCTTTCACTTGCTCTTCTTTTCATCTTTGTATTGTGCTTTTCAAATGATAATCCATTGCTCATTGATAGAAAATGCAGAACATGTAATTTTTAATTTTTTTTTTTAAAGGAGGAGTGGTGGTGTTGAAAGCATCTCTGTGCTGTGTATAGCACCTATTACTGGGTTCTGTCCTTTTAGTACTCAAATGTGATTATTTTAGCAAGCATCGTTTTGAGGAGAAAGTAAGAGCAAGAGAGAGAACCAGTCTTTTGGGTTAGTATCTCAGCTCCTGTTGCATTCATTTGGGCTGTGCTTTCTTCCGTCACAGGAGTCACTCAGCTGCCGCTTGGTCTTTGTGATGATGCAGTATTGTGTGGCTGCAAACTACTACTGGTTGCTGGTGGAAGGCATGTACTTGTACACGCTGCTGGTACTTTCAGTCTTTTCTGAGCAGAGAATTTTTCGGCTTTATCTCTGCATTGGCTGGGGTAAGTTGATCTTTCCATATGTCCACCTGTGGCTGCGTGCACCGGCAGATGGTATAATAGGAAAAAACATCGTGTGTCTTACGCAGTGCTGCCCAGTTCAAGTCCTGCACTCTTTATTCCCTTTTTCTTGCTGGTCCATTATCTTATTTGAGCTGGAGGGTGCTGGGCCAGCACAGCTCCTGGATGCTTGCAGTGTAGAGGCTATGGGCTCATAACAGAGGGGCTGAGTGGCACCACAGAAACTCCCTAAACCAGTCGCAGGCACGTGGTATATCTCCTGGAAGACATCAGCTTCCCAATTCAAAAGATGTGTGGTGATTCCAGGTGAGTGTGGACTTTCCTGGACTGCCCTGCTTCATCTCCTGAAAGTTTGCCATTATGTTCAAAGATACGTTAAATACCTGTGGTGCAAAACAGCAATGATACCTTGTATCTGGTCAAGGATAACAGTAGAGAAGTGTTGGCAGCATGAGGTAGAGGGATGCAAGGGAGTTGATGAACAAGAGGCTGCTAGCAGGGGGTTGTCAGTTGGTTATGTGGGTAGAGCAGGTCAAGTAGTGATTGTCGGGCAAAAGAGTGGTCAGGGTGCACCTGCCATGGGCATGTATGTGTGTGCTTGAGATTAAAGACTGTAACACCATGAAATCAGTTGGTTGACCCGGAGTTGCCTCCTGTAGAAATGCTAAAGCTTTGATTCTTTTGCTGTCCAGTTAACCCAAAATATATTTGTTTTCAGGATTAATTCTATTTTTTGAATGCTCTCCTGTGTGCTTTTATTACATTCTGTCCCTTCCCCTTCTTCCCCCTCCCCTTTTGGTGCAAATTGGGTGACTTTTGGAAAGCTAAAAGTAAATCCAAATAAATACTGCAAGTGCTTTCACAGATACTAGTTTGAACTGTAAATTGCTTTGACTGCCCTCCTCTCTCTATGGATTTGCCAGCTGTGAATATTCTAGCAAATTAGTTCATTGGTAAAATGCGTATAAATGGCTTATCATGAATTACCCAATTCTACTGAACAGTGATGAGGAGAAAAGGCTTTCCAGCACATTGATGAGAATAAATAAATACAAGTAATAGCAATTTCCTGATGGTGAGTTTTAGTTAAAAAGTTCTGTATCTTCCATTATTGTTTTATAGAGGACATGCATCAAAAGCAACAGCCTCTTCCATAACATTTGGACTATGTGTGTTTTAATCATATTTTATGAATAGCCATACCCTCTATTAAAAAAAAAAAAAGATGGGGTAGCTGTCCCGAAGCACTGACTGACATTGTGAGAGGAAATGGAAAAGAAATTAGAGCAAAATTATATCTAGACAAATTCTGAGGGTATTTTGTTGTTTTATAAGGAAGGGATAAGATGATTTTAATCTGAATAACTTCTAGTTAGAATTTGTCTCTTGCAAAAGCAGAAGACAGAAACAGAAAACGCTATTTTATTTTTTGACCTTTACAATGGAAGTTTTGCTACTGTATACTGAATTTCTGGATGAGTTTGTGGAAATGAGTGGCAATGCCAGGACTTGGCACTGGATATATGGGTTTCATTCAAGCTTCCTAGAAAAGCTCTGCCTGTGCCATTCAATCCTCATCTGTACAGTTTCTTGCTATTCTAGCTGTGGCTGCATGTGCAAACCTTGCCAATGATTCTCCATCTTCAAATGCAGAAGCATCTGCTATTTCAGTGCTCCTAGATTAGTTATACCAGATAACAGTTTTGTCTCTAGCAAGTGGAGAGAGATGAAGATTTTCTTGCACACTTTCTTGCTTCTTCATTGATGATTCAATTTTTTGGGTGCTCAGGTCCCTCACCCAAGTGCCTTTCTGCTGTATGCAATGCTCAGAAGATTTTTTATTTTTTTTTTTTTGAGCAGCATGAGAGCTGCTCAGAGCCAATTCAGAGCCAATAGCTTCCTGTTTGAACTGAGAGAGTCCTGCTCTTTGACATAGTTTATCAACTGTAAAAATAAAGCTGAATAATAATAAAAAAAATCTATTTAGACTGTCAGAGCTGATTTTATACCCTGATCCTTTGTTCTGTTAATGAATTGTTCTCTTAGAGGATAATTTTTTAACTTCTTCATGACTCATCCTTTGATGAATATTTATGTTTTCAAATTTTGTATGTGTATTGTTCACAAACTTAGTGAGTGTTAGTAATTTCATGTTGTTATTTCTTCTAATTATAACTGAACTTTGTGATCACCCACAGACCATATGGTATTGTTTTTGCTGTCTGAATAGCTTCTGCAATCCCCCATGTGATCACATATGTTTGCACTTGTACTTCTCTCAAATGTACATATGAATAGAACTGGGTATTCTCCTCAAGGTTTTTGTCCACTTGAGTGTTTGCACACACTCTTGGTCATGATGTTTGCCCTGTTGTACTTCTTTCGAGGAACAACAGGTCTGTTCTCTTCCTGAGCAACAAGGAATAAACAAGGGACTAGAGCAAATTATTTCCTCAGGTAATCCCAAACAAAACCGTAATGTAAGGGATGGCTTTAAAATAGGCAGAAATGTCCCAATATGTATGTCTCTGCAAGCTTTTGAACAGCTATATTAAATAGTGCTCTATTTTGTTATAAGAGGGGAAAAAGTCCATGTAATTGTGTAAATTAAAAAAAAAAAAAGTACGTCTAGCATGATCATTTCATCTGAATTCAAAACATGGAAAGGGTAAACGTGCTTTTCAAATAGAAATATGTAAAAGATAACATACTTAGTCTGTGTCTTCCTAGAACAGTTAGCAGACAGTGGGAAGTGTAAAGAAAATTTGAGAAATATTTCTCAAATATATTTTTGCTATATGATAATTTCAAGTCAGTTCTTAATGTGCTCCCTTACGGTATTCCCTTCAGTTTCAGTTCAAGTGGGTAATTATTCTTTGCTGTTGAAGTGTTTTGTAAGGGGAAAAAAAGGCTGTTTATCTTGTGTTATTGAACTTTGCAAAAGCTAGAAAAGTTATAAAATGTTGGTAGGCTTAAGGAAACTAATGTAGTTTTACGAATTGGTCGTCATTTATATCGACATCATGTATATTGATAGGATTCTATAAACCTTCCTGATTACTTGTGAGGTAACTCTATTCCTGTAATGGCCACTTCCTTGCTGAGATTTCATGCCATATGAGGCTTTGAGATGGCAGTGTTAAATTTTTCCTATTTCATTTAATGTGGAAAATGTCTTGCTCATGTCATCTTTTTCTTTGTAAAAGCAGACTTTCATACATTTGTGTCAACCCCGAGTTCCACATATCTTACTGCAAAGACAATGGTTTATACCACTTTCAAAGCTGGTGGTGGGGAGGGGAGGGGCGGCAGGGAAGACAGAAACACTAACAGCATCAGCAAACAAAATTCTCAATAGGCTAATGGCACAGCAGGTAGATGAGTTGTTCTCTTCAGTCTGGAGGTCAGCACAAAAGCAGCTAAACAGGATGGTGATTCAGATAGTCATTATCCCTTGCAGGAAAAAAAAAAAAAAAAAAGCTGTTGCTGATGTTGGGACACCAACTCACTGTTCATTGTGTCTGAGCTCAAGTGAAGAGTCGCTGAGCTTGACATTGACTTCAAACAGCTGTATCAGTGCTGTACAAAGTGGTCTCTGGAGAAGAGCACTTTGTATTGTAATGCTGCTGTCTGCATCTTTCAGCAGCTTTCAGTGGAAGAAGGACCTGTTCACATTCAGAAGAGGGGAGGAGGAGGGAGGAATGAGGAAACAACAGCAACATCTCACAGTGACTATGTGCGACATCCAAGCGGGAAGAATGACAGGAGGAGACAATTTTCAGCTCTAAAGGCTAAGAAGAAAATGTTAATAAAAAGCTAAACATTCTCTGAGCTTCTATGGCAATTTTACACCCAGCTGCACTTGCAGCAGGGAAACTGCCATAAAAAAATAAATAGTTCCTTTCCTTCCAGCCCTTGGCAATCCAAACTTGCTCTAAGGAAGAACACTTTGAGGGAATGAAGCTATTAAAGGCAGGAAGCCTAGCTAGGGTTTCAAAAATCTCCATCCTGATTGCCTGGAAGATCTGACTGGAACAGAGCCAGCAAGAAACCTTCCTTCTGTGAAGCCCAGTAGGAACTCAGTGTAGCAACGGGATGCATTCATTGCACTAACCATTTCTTGTCTGTTTTCAAAAGAAAACTGTATTTCAGACAAAGATGTGAAAATTGGTTTTGTGTCCAGACTGATCCTGGTGGGAAACACATCTGTCAAGAGTTTATCTTCATTTTCTTCATTCTTTGTCTTCTGGATTTGACTCTTTCATGCTTTTCCTTGTTCAGAAAGAAAAACTTTTCATCTTTTCTTCTCACATCTTCAATGCTCTTACTTTTTCTTCATCTAGTCATATTTTTTCAGTTCCTCATCTCATGCTTCTTGCATTCATACATCAAACAGTTGATCAAATCGGACTGTCCTGGATGGTTACTAGACTGGAGTTCTTCTGACAGCAGTAGTGTTATTCTGGTTTGTGTGCCTGATTGTCTCAGAGGTTGAACTTTTCACGACGTGGAAACCAGTCATGTCAGGTTACATCTGAAATACGAGCTTGTACACAAACTCATCAGTCCTAAAATGCTGTATTCAGAATATGCCCTTATTTAAGGGTCTTCAATGGTCCTGTAGAGACCAGTTTACTTCAGGAAGAATCTCTGGTCAGCACCTGAGGATGAGGGGAGCCTCTCTTGTTCCTCATACATTTTTCTCCCCTGAAATTGCCTTTATGTACAATGCAAAGCTAGAAATATCTTGCGTCTGCAAGAATGAAAACTTGCTTGCACATCAAAGTAAGAGAAAGACGGAAAGGCAGTATGGAATAGCACCACCTGGTGACACCTTTCATGGTAGCTGCTACTTAGTGGACTATAGAACAACCCTGAGCTTTTCTGTTGTTATCAAAATATCTTAGCCCCATTAAATGGAGGGACTGATTTCCACATGCTGTTACCAGGATTAGTAGCAACATAAATTGTTCCTCTCTCTG